GCTATATCTTTTTCTATCACTAAATGAATTAAAGTTTTTCATTGATAGAAAAGAATATGGTGAGCTAATAAAAGGTAGCGTTACAAATTCAAGTTAAATCCAAAATACAGAAATAAAAATAAAATCCCATTAAAAACATTGATCTTTGATAATGAAAAATTTCACAATTCCATATACTTACATACAGTACTATACATACCAGTAACATCATTTGATTTTTCCCAAGAAAAAAACCTAAGTCTTAACAAGAATGGTTTATACAAGTTGAAGCTTGCCCCGCTGCTGAAGCTACCTAGCTATTACAGTTAGCAATAATATATTAAGTTGTACATTTTTTATCAAGTTACTAATCAAGGGTGCGCTCTGAACTGGGTGTCACATAAGCTTCATTAAGTAGCAAAGTCTGTTTATTTCCGGAATTCTTACAGCTTCTGAGATCAGTAACATCCTTTAATAACCTTTTAGGAAGAAAGTGTTTTCCCATTTGCTGTTTAATAAAGAAATGGCTCTTTTTCATTCCTTACAACAGATCTAGACAATCAGCAAGCCTGATGCCTCCAGCATCAGTGAGTTTTGCTTGCTTTTTATACCAGATTTCACATCAATTTGAAATTAAAGCTAGTCTTTCAAAGCTTTTGCATTGGGAAGATATACGTCACTTTCAAAAAAATATTCTTTTCTTTACAAGACAGAGTTACATACAGATTGCTTAGAACATCCTCAAATTTTTCCATCAGGTATGTTAGATCCATTCTAAATAAAAATCTCTTTAACAAGCTTCCGCTTTCATTCTGAAGGCCCACCAAAGAATCTACACTCGTCTTTGGCTATTGCAAGCAAAAGCAGCTAAACCAATATACTTTTGCAAATGGTCATACCTGTGCAAAACTGCACTTCAAACAAAATGTCACATCCAGACACATTAAGATTCACCTCTATGAACAGTACACCCACACATAAGTGCCCACATAGATCTTGATTATATTCAAGGCTTTATTACAATTTTTCCTCAGGATGCACGGAAAAACACTTATTATAGGAATAAGAACAGTAATTAGCCACCCTTCACCTCCCCTCAAATTTTCCTTTCCTCCCGTTCAAGACAGCTGCACAAAAGAAAAAAAAAATCAGTAAGTGGAACAAGCCTTTCATACATTTACTCAAATTTGTTTATTTTCTTTACTGAGAAAGGAGAAAGCAAAGCTATTTCACAAGTCAGAAAGAAAATGAGATTTGTGCTTCAGAAGAGCTACCCAACAGATTTCACCTCGTGAAAGATTTAAAAAAATTAACCGATAATGTGACAACTGCTAATTATCATGCCACATCCCTAAGCAGAAATACACTACCCATGTACACTTCCTAAGCGGGGCAAAAAACCTTTGTAACTGCTTACCTATACGGACGCAAAACTGGAGATCCCTTAGCAGAAAGCCTACCTTTGAAACAGGAGTAACTTCACCTTCAAGTATTTCAGATGCAAACTGAATGTTAACCCAGAACAGACAGTAGAAACCACAAGAATTAGCTGAGACATCAACTCTACCACTGCTCCTGCATTTTAAATTTCCTAATCTTAATCCACAGGCATTCAGGGATATCAGTTAAATTGCACTTACATGAATAACTTGATTTCTTTCTTTACAGAGAAATAAACAATGATTATGGCAGCTCTTTTCTTATATTCCAACTGTATAAAGAAGAAAGTTTAGAAGGACACCATCACAACTTGCAATGCAAAACTAAGTAATCCAATTTTCTTATTTAAAAAAAACACGGTCAATCTACTTCAATTCTAATATTCAATTTTGTTTCTAAGAGGACCTTAAAAACAAGCTTTGCTTAGCTCAGAAGAAGATACCTTTACAAGTGACAAAAAGTTAATATCAACATGGATTTCTTAAAAATATAGCAAGGGGCAACCATCAATGTGGAGAAGTGTTCACTCCACCAGTGCCAAACTTTTCGTAATAAAAACACATTTATTACAACAGCATATTACAAGCAACTAGTTTCAGTGATCAAGGAATAAAATTTTACAGAAATGCAAACATTGTAGTTGCCAGTTGTGAACTGACAAACATTCCACGTTTATAAACGCCACATCTTTTCATTTAAGCACACTTACAAGTAATTTCCAGTCTGCTTTATTTTCCACCAATACAGTACATTTATCCAAACAAAAGCATGTACATTCAGTATAAAACATTTTGAGCAACAGTTACAGTCCAGTTCTCATTCACAGTATTTTTAGTGCAATGCACTAACAGGGCCAAGTACTTCTCTATCCATAAAAGTATTTTTACTCCTGATCTTGTGATCAACATTTTTAGATATATTTTATACAAAAAGTATATATGAACACGAGGCACCTCCCTAAGTAAGGGAGTGAACCTATATAAAAAAAACATGGTATTTCTTTTGATGTACAGTACCTTTCAAATTGTAGCAATTTGACACAAATCACTAAACAAAATATTTTCTAAAAAGTAAAAAAACAACCCCCCAAGCCACTGATGCATGACATCTGCCAAGAATTTCATAATGGTAGGCATGCAACTGTTTTACTAAAATCCTGATTAAAAGACAAAAAAGGGATCTAAAACAATTTCAAAGTTATACAAAGTCAAGTGCTACCTACAGTGGTCATTTATGATCTTGAGAGAAAAAGTATTTTGAGTTTCTCCCAAACTAGCCTCCCTTTTTATTAATATTTAATGAAATAAGCTAACATTATAAGTGGTTGTGCACAGATTGTCTGTCTATAATACATCAGCAAATATTCACTACCTTCATATTCACATTAGTGTGTTGATCTTTCAAAAAATAAACTGAAAAAATAAACTGCAACTATCATTAAAGTGCTTGTGTATAATTTTTTTAAAAAAAATTAAAGAATAGAGGAATGTAGATATTCTTGTAAACTTCCTAGATGTTTACAAAGTTGTCCTATGAACCGCATATGGAAACAAAAATGGAAATCTTTGAATCAACTTTAGTACAGTGAAATTCAGAATGCCTCGAAACTGGGAAAATTAGTCAGTAAGAACAAACGGATGTTATGGCAAACACTACACAATTCAACCAATATGCACTAGATTGTTTGCTCTTATACATTCACTGTAATAAATTTAAAACAGTACATAACACAACATTTGCCCAAGTAGGATATCATAAAAAAGTTAGAGCTGTTCATCAGTTAGCGGTATTATGGAGGGTCAGTATGTATGATGAAGCTCTCTGAAGATGAATTTACTAAATAAGAAATTAAAGGCTTCTTCCAAAGCTGCTGTTTGTTAAGTTGCCTCTGTTTTTTTTTTTTTTTTAAAGTTCAGAAAGTTCATTCTGTACTGTGCCAAACCTCAACTGCATAGAGATAAGTAGAGTTAACTGCTAAGCTAGAAGCACAGGTGCATTTCAACTCAACTACTTCAAAGTATTTGGGGAGGAGGCATTGTCCTACAACACGCCGTCAGAATGGTTATTAATTTAGGAACAAAAACAACAGTTTATGAAAATATTTCCTCCTTTTAGTACCATTATCAAGACATTAGTGGTTCCAACACCAAATTAAAGTCTTTTCACTCAAATGAGCTCCAAACTTTCCGAACATCACTTGAACCTATCTGAGGAGAAACGGGAATAAATTAATACTCTGAGTTTACCAATCTAATTCTGTTTCAAGTTATACAACATAAATAACTTATATGTGAGGTTATTCTTTTAATTCATGATCAAAATACAAAACTCACTTTTCCTCTTAAATTCAGCATAATTCAGGGTCCAGCTCAGCTTATTTTTAAAGTTCTATCCCCTTCAGCCAAGACTTGTTACCAAGGCACTAAAGTACTACATTACATCTCAAAATAGCTAGGTGGTAATTCACTACAAAAGCTGAACCCAAACCGAATTATCTTCTAGAAAACAACACTTCAGAGTTGAAATATAGAACAAGGCACATATACTTGGTTTCTTTTCACCAAATATGTTATAAGAATATTTCTGAGTAAGAATGATGAAAACTCTTAGCAGTATCACTAACGTCTCCATCATAAATTTTTGTACAATAACCAGACCTTCAGGGAGCAATCAGTCATTCTGAACTACAAAATGACTACTTACTTTCCTTTTTAAAAAAAGGTCCTTGTAAAAAAAATAGACTATTTTTAACATGAAGGGTATGGAAAATAGTCACTGTAAATACAGCTCATCTAAGTGTAAAAAATTCCCAGAATACCACATTAGCAGAAGTTTAGAAAGTTCTGGGCCAAACTTTTACATATATTTAGCCTTAACATAAAAATTCTTCCTGAGGCTCAAATACTTTAAAAAATACGTGATCACATCTTATGTTTACATACGCAAACACTGAAAGAATCAAGCCCTAAATTTAATGAATTTAAAGGTGTTCACTGGCACCTAACTCAAACTGATTTAAAATTAAAGCAATTAAGCATCCAAATTATGTTCAAAAATCCATTCTATGTCCTTCTGTTAACAGGACATAGGCATACATTAGGATAAAAAAATTAATGCAAGAATGGATAACTTCGGTATGTTCATAGAGATTTTTTGCAGGCAACCACTCTTACTATAGTACCTTTAGAACTTCTGCAACTGGGTTACAGAGACGTTCATTAACAGTGCTCAAATCAGATAAAAGCACTGCTAATTTTACTATATTAGGAATGTATAATATTAGTTTGATTACAATAGATGACTTAGATCAATTTTAAAAGAGTTTACTTGGGACAGCTTAACTCTATTCTATTTCAACTTCCTACAAAGGCAAATTTAGAAAATAACTCCTTTCCAAAACACTAAAAACAGAATTTAAGAAATAAACTCGACATCTACCTTAGTACTTAAGCTGCTAAGCCATTAAATCTATGGAAAAGTATGCTTTCAGCAATAAATCAACAGCTATCAATCAATAGCACATGAAAGGCAGTATTTTTTTCTTAAAAAAAAAAAAAAAAAGACAAAACACTATTTTTTCCTCACCAGACAACAGCTTTAGATCTTGTACTTCTGCCTTTGGTTTTATTCTCTTCAGGAGAATGAGATGCATTTGCCTTGTGGGTTTTCTTATGATGCTCTAGAAAAGTCTTTCTGGCAAATGCTTTCCCACATTTATTGCATCGGTGAAGAGAAAAGTTTTTTGTTACTTTTACTTCAATGCCAACATCAGCTCCTTCATACTTTTTATTGGGAGAATTAGAAGTGACATCCTGTTTTGAACCAATCTGTTTTGTTTCATCCCTCTGAGGGCCTCTTTTTGTCACCTTATTTAGAACAAGATCAATTGGCTTTTTTATTGCTCTAATTTCTAAACTTGCAGTTATTTTCCCAAGGTAGCGTGGTGACTTTTTATGAACTACAGTTATATGCCTTATCACATCCCGCTTGCGACGTGTTTCATAAGAGCAGAGTGGACACCTGTAGTATTTAACATAAATGTTATTTCCGTCTGTGTGCAATTCAATGTGTTTTGTCAAGTTCTGTTTAGAAGTAAATTGGCGTTTACAGAGTTTACAGTAAAGCTGCTTGAAGTCAAAGCCAGCTGAAAGTTTTGGCTTCCTGGTTTTTTGCTGGCCACCTGCAGCAGATGCATTGGTTGATTTAGAGGTTGATTTAGTGGTTGATTTAGAGTTTGATTTAGTGGTTGATTTAGAGGTTGATTTAGGGTTTTCAGGGTCCTGTTTAACTTTAGTTTTCTGTACTGACGGAGTGCTCTTTTTCTCATTTGAATGATTTGTTCCTTTTAATTCATTCTGCGGAGAAAGGCCAATGGAAGGGGGTGAGGGTTCTACACAGTCTGCTGGTTCAACTTTTACTTTTATTTCTGTGCCATTGGCAGTATTGTTGGGTCCTTTCTCTCTTTTAGAGTTCTTTCCAGAAAGGGTTATCTTGTGAACAATTTGCATGTGCCTTTTAAGCATTATTTGTGAACTATATTTTCTCTTGCACAGAAGGCATTTGCATGCAGTTAAATTGTATTCAGCCTTTGAAGATGACTTTTGTTTTCGGGTCTTAAAAGATTTTTTAGCTGAAACTGTATCCAAGAACAAAGGTTGCCCCGGCTTTGTAGCTATATCAGGAGTAATGGAATCCCTTCTTAATCCTCTATGAACTTCATCAAAATGCCTCCTTACATTGGCTTTTGTAGCAAATGATTTATAACATACAGGACAACTTCTACCTAATGTTACAAGAACATTTTTATTTCTTCCTTTAGTTGAGCACTGATTTGGTTTCTTTTTTGTTTCTATGTACTTCTTTAGCTCTTCCATCTTTTTTTTGTGTACTTTTCTAATGTGCCGGCGTACACTGCGTCTGGAATGAAATTCCTTCCTACAAAGGCAACAAATCAACTGGTGGCCAAAATCAGAATTATCTGAAGAGTCCAACTCAGGAAGAACTGCTGGAGGCTGTTCTTCAGAAGTAGGTATCACCTTGTTTACAACAGGATCAGCAGGAGGTAATTCCAAAGTTTCCCCAACTGGAGTTGGGGCTGGAGCTGAAACAGTCTTGGGTTGCTCAGTGCTGGGTTCCTGTACTTGTACTGGAGCTTGATCAGGGCTATTACTAATTTCTGTGTTCTCATCTGGGCTATCAGTCCTTGATACATATTGAAATACCGCATTTTGATTAGTTTCTATAGGTTCTAATTTAATTACATATTCTTGCTTGTCTACTCGTGGATAGATTGCTTCCAGGAGATCATTTGTGGCTTTGGTTTTGTTTTTATTTTTTTTTTGGGGGGGGATTTTTAAATAAACTGATAATCCCAAATTTAAATTTTTTCAGATTGGAAAGGGTCTTTTCACTGTCAATTCACCATCATATTTGCAGAAATCATGCATTTTTACTATTTTTGTAGTATTTTTCTAGTTACAGGTTGAAGAAGTATTGCTTAATCTAACAACTGAACCACTACTTCAAATAGGACTTACTTTGACTAGTGAAGCAATTTTTAATCACACCAGTATGTGTACTTTTTAGTAAAAGCTAACTCAAGAAGTACATCCTTGTAGCATTCTAGTGTCAAAGCCACCTAGAGCAAAACTTGATTTGCCTTGAATTCAACTGTTTTCTAAAAATCCACACCAGCTGCCGAGAAATAAGGACATAAGACTGAGCTTGTTCTTCAGGTGGGCAGCTAAGCCTTAAGAATCATTAGAAAATGAGTTTCCTACTACTGCAGACAGGTGTTCTCAATAAAGGAACCTGTTGCTGGAAATAAACTCTTCTCTGTCAACGCTGAAGTAACAGACCTTTAAGGAAGAGGGCGCAAGACCCATGTAACCTGAATACTGCATGAAGATATAAGTAGATAAAAGAGAATTTAACTTCTAGGGAAGGGAAAGCTTTTAGTAAAAATGAGTTACTGGCACTGTTAGTATAGATAATAAGGACAGGAAAAAAAAAAATCTATATTATCTAAAAGAATTGTACCAATTTCTCAAAACAATGAAAACTGATCCAAAGTAGTTATTTTAAGAAATAACGACTTCACTGGGCTTCACCAAAGGTTTATCCTGTATTCTGTTCCAATAATGAGTTAGAGCAGACTTGAAAAATAAGACAGACAGATACAATAACCCTTCTTGTTTGCCTGATCCCAGAAAACATTGGTTGGGGACTTCTCAAGTGAAGTTGGCCTGTAAAATACTGTTTTAATAGACCTATTCTCCACAAACTTTTTCAAATGCTTTTTGAACCCCTTTATGTTCTTGGCTGCCACAATGATGTTATGCGCATTTATTTTTGTCAAAAGTACTTTCATACTGTCTGCTGTCTGGTAATTTTTTTGCATACCCTAGTGCTTTTGCATTATGAAATATGAATACATGATTGCTCTCATTTCCTTTCATGCCATTCCTATGATTTTACAATCCTCACTAATATCTTCTCAGTTTTTACATTCCAAATTTGTTCAGTGATCTAGTTCCCAGCACAGTGCCCCAAGCATGTGCACAGGCACAACTGAGAAACCAGTACAGTACAGCAGAACAGTGAGGCACTGAGGTGATACTGTTCAAACTTATCCACAATGATTTGAATATCTCATTCCTGACTAATTAAAAGTGCATACTTACTTAGGGTTGTTTCTTCCACACCCCCAACAAGTACATGAAAAAGAGTATCAGTAAAAGAAATTGGCTGTTCTGTTGCTCAGAACAGTTCTTTTGATACTGGATAATTAACATCTTTTGCAATCAGCTTCAGACAGAGTTATCTATAGAGTATCAGTAATTTATAGATAGATAGAATAAATGTATCTATAATTTTTTACCAAGTGGTCCCTCCCTTCTTATACCTCTTTTTCAGATCATGTAATGACTACACTGGACAGAAAACATCTCAAAAGAGATCCTCAGGGAACAGTAGTTTTCCACCACGGGGACAGCAGAACTTTTATTCCTACCTCTTGTTCACTATCTTTTAACTCTGTTCATTGAAAAAACCTTGCATTTTATTCCATAATCTTCATACTCAAAATTACATAAAACCAGTCTTCACATAGTTTTTATTGCGAGTATCTAGTATTCTCTTCACCTGCACCCTAGTCAACAATGAAACGCAAAAGCTAACAGACCAATTAAATGATGGCTAGAATGCCAGGAGCTGGACTGGAGATCTTAATATTCAGAGCAGTTTTATTTTGCTTAGAAATGCGTGCATCTAAGTCAGATGCACTTACGATCTTGCTTTAAGAAAACAGCTCATCCCTCTTAACAGAGGAGCTCTATGACTGCGCAACTGGCCAAGCACACTAATCTAAGGGGGGAGTCACTACTAGTCTTTTCACTTTCCTCTCCTTCTTCTTTATGACACTTGCTAACACAAGGCTGGAAAAGAATCATCTAAATAAATCCCTGTAGGTTCCTAACTTTTGAAATACTGAGGCGGGAAGGCATTATTCAAGAAAAAATCCTCATCGCACCTACGATAATCCAGTCAAGAAGGGATCAAGATAATCAGAAAGTTCTGCAAAACATTTTTCTGAATGTTGGCACACTTTCAAATTAATCAGCCTTTCACAGACAAAGATTAACAAAAGGTCATCACTAGAAATAAGGAGGCTTTAACATATGTCGTTTTCCATAAAAATACACTTATGTAAAATTTTCCCCTTAATCTAAATTACTTAATAATAACAAAAAAGTCAAATTTCTAGAAAGAAGGAAGGGGGCTAGATAAAATTACATACAGGGCTCAAGAATATCTTAATGCAGGGTCAGGCGAGGTGAGAAGGTGGGAAAGAGAGAGTATTATTGAAGCACCAATCCTTTCAGAAAAGGGCCACATTTTACTATGTGCTTCATAATCAGTTAAGACTGAAGAATTTCATCCATGATACTGAGCCCTTCCCAAGTACAGGACAGAGTGATGCAGATTCATCCAAGTGATTTTACAGGATCCAGCTGGAGTCCAGCAGAGCTATGCTGATCTAGAACTAAAAAACCTTGTTAGATCCAAGCTTTTCTTTGAGAATCAGTTTCCCAGCCCTTTGGCATACTTTTCAATATTTTTCATAATAGAGAGGGAAAACAAAACAAAGGAAAAGAGGCAAAAGAAATAAAAAGGGTTGCCAGTGACACCCCTCATTAAAAGGTTGGATCTACAGACCAGCTACCAAATTATGACACTAACATGGGTCCTGGTTGCTACTGCCATATTGAAGTCCATGCTTCACCTTCTTTACAAGCATAAGGGAGATCTACATACACTACCATCAACATTTAATTCTGCTTCATTTTTTTTGCATCTTGTTTCTGCTCTGTTTTTATAAATGGTACAGAAAGGTAAGTCTCTCAATTTTAGATAGATTTATTAAATATTTCAATGAGCAAAACTTACTGTCATCCATCTGGAGGCTTGGAGGACAATAGAACTTTTTATGAGTAATTAAATTTGGTAATCCTCTGAAGAGACTCCGGCACAATTTACATTCAAAAATGGTATCAACATCTTTTAACAATATATGTTTAAGTTGTTTAGTTCCTGTAACAAAAGAGATAGTACACTTAAAGTAGGTTTTCTGTTCATCTGCTAGATCACATCATCTCATGAAAGCAGAAACATTTTAAAACATGACATTACCACAACATTTTATCTTGTGTTAACTCGACTTCATTGTACTTTACTAAATATACTCTGAGTTTCACTATGAAAACAAGCCTAGGTTTTAAAAAAAGAAAAACAAAAAAAAAATCAAGGATTATACACATTACAGTTAACAGCGAATGAATGATGACATGATCAAAATCAACAGCTAACATTAGTATGACAGTTCGTACTACAGTATCTGCTTGCTGCAATACGATTGCTTAATAGGAAAGAATAGTCATGCATGCATTTTAAGAAAAAATGCTGCAGAACTATTTAAATTTCTCCAGTGGTGCTAAGAAAGTAAGGTGCATATAGCTATTTTATGTAAAAGTAGCACCAGAAGAAAGAAAAAGCTACAGAGCATGCAATAAATGTACAGAGAATAAATAATGTGTCAAGATTAATGTTATTGCATGCAAGTGTCCCACCCAAGATCAAGATGATTGTGCTTATTAAGAAAGGAGAACTGGAGACATATTTTCAGTCTAATGAAAGGAAAATACAAACAAATTGAGTTGGAAAATTTTCTGTCAGAAAATAGGTACTATGACAAAACTTGCAGGTTTTCAAGGTCATAGATTGTATATTTCAAAAAAAATAAAAAATAAACCCTCACAAAGATGCAGTTTGATCTGGCATTGTTAGTGTATTCCAGCTCCCGTCTTGCTTAATCAACTAAAAGACCAGAGTTAAAATTACGTTTCAAACCCATTCCTTCATTTTACATCATGCTAAAACTATGAATGTAATGCCTACAGTTATTAGCAACAGATCACTAAATCATGGATATTTGCCTACTCCAAACTGGAAGGAAACACTAGCTGACCAAAATCAGTGAATTTCTCTGTCTTACTTTTATTTTATTTAATGGGATAAGTCAAAAATAGTCAAATGAGCAGAAATATAAAGAAACTGGTCCAAGAATAAATAATATCACAATCAGAAAACTATGAATTAGAAAAACAACATTCAAATACTCTTAAGTTGAAATAGAGTAAGAAGTCCAAATGTTCTGGCATCATGCAGACACTCCTGATAAGAATTCCTTTTAAAGATCAAACTCTGAATCGCATTACAGAATTATTTCAGAGAACAAACTTTTCCAAATACTAATAGATTTCACAATACCTAATAGTTTTGCAATATAAATGGTCCTTACCACAGTAACATTTCCTCAAATGCTAGTAACCTCACTTTCACCTGACCTCTGTTTTACAGGCAACACAGATTACTGGACTGATATATATAAAGAGTTCCCCCCAAATTAAGCTGTTTACTCAGATCTTACGAATCCAAGTGTGAATTGCATAAAAAGAAAATCACAGAAGAAAATCCAGCTGAACAAAACTAACGATGCCCTACGTAGACAAAATCCCAGTAAGTAACTAAATTACACTCAAATAAAAAGTCCTCATATTTGCTGACGGTACACAAGATAAACCAAAATTTGGCCAGTGCTGCTGACAGATGTCGTAATTACAAACCCCTCCCCCAACTAAAGAGAAATAATTGTCTAATTCACAAATGCTGCTTTCCTCCCTCCAGGGACACACAAGTCTACTGATACCTCATTCTCTCTGCTATTATGCTGATAGCATACATGGGTTAAGTCTCCTTTCAGCTGAAGATTTAAATGTTTTTGTCTAATCCAAATTACTGAGCTTAGGAGTTACTGGTTGAGATTCAATGGCTCATGACATACAGGAGGTCAAACTAGATGATATGGTAGTGGTCCCTCTGGCTTCAAACCTTTTCCAACTATGAAACTTGTCGTAAGTAAGAGCTAAAAAAAATTGGTCCTTGTGAATGAAATTGTAAAGCTTTGGAGATCTCTGGAAGTAAAAGACATTTAAAACATCTACTGCTTTTGCGGACCTAACACACAGAGAAAGAAGTAAGTATCTCCTTATACTTCACCAACTGCAGGTTGCAGCAACCAGCAGTCAGTTTTCCCACCAGCAGATACTGTCTCCAGCTTACTAAAACCATCTCTATTTTGTAGTTACATCTACCTGGGGCAAGTGATACTTTGTCAAATCCTGTTAGTATTTGTAAATGATGAAGCTAAAATAATATGGTCACAGGAAATTGGTACAGAACATCAGCTATTACAAGTACTTCTCTGGAAAAATTACTGAAGTGTATGCCTTTGGCCAGCAACTGCGTATTTAAAAAAATTTCAGCTGTCTTTTTTATACAGTAACATTATATGCTATAGCAAAATTACAGATTTCTGTATTATATTATTACTTAAAATATTCTGTTGTGTAATAATATTCTATAATATATTATTATTTATATTAGTAAGCATTTTCTAATAATGTTAAATTCAAACTATGAAGAACACTCTGGTTTTAATCTCTATTTCTTTAAAAGTTTGCCAGAAGAATCAAAGTAGTTTCTTTCCATAATGAAATGCTGCTTGTTCAAAAGTAACTAGTAAAATCTTGGCCCTAGTCCTTCTACTTCCTGTCCAACTTCCCTGGTGCAGATGAATGAAGAGGGTAAAGTAAAATATCAGTTTATCACACAACAATCTGGAGGACAATCTGGAAATGGCCTGGAGACAGATTACTTGCAACTAATTCACGTTATTATCAATACAGATTCCATTAACCTGCTTCAAGTGAAAGAAGCCTGCCACATGTACTTGAGGCCTTAGGCAACTTCATCCAAACACCCTCGCTTCTTATAAAAAAAGTCACTAACGACGGATCTCACATCCAGTGTTCCTTCTTGTATTAAGTTATTTAAATGCAAGTGGAGAACAAACTGACTACTGTGCCACCCTACAAGACTCAGCCCAGGCACACATCCTGACACACACAAACGATGATTTATATATAAAACGCGTATTTCTTAGGAATAACAGTTCTATGTGGAAAAATCTAGAACACATATTCATATAAAGACTCACTTTAATTTTTGCAATAACGTCTGTGTTCTTCTATTAAAGGTTGTAAAAATAAAAATGTTTATTTTGTCACATTAGAAGCACAGAATCAGGTAGAAAACATTAAGGGTCTTCTATCGTCTTTGGCTTGCTCACCCAAACATTGAATTGTTACTCTTAGGTTCATTGCTATGTATTGCAACTGCAGAGAACAATCGAATAACATCTTACAAGTAATGTGATATAGCAAGACAACTACCTATGCAAGAGTTTGAGGCAAACACTGAATTTTCTCAACCTTTTAGAGTTTTAGGATAAACTCATTAACAGTATCAGGAGGGATGAAAAAGCAGAATATAAAGCTATTCTTTTAAGTATTAGACAAATGACTATACAGCAGAAACTGTCTTCACTACTTTATATGAAAACCCTTAAAAGAAGGAACAGCACTCAATATCAAAAACCTATATATATTTTGCACCTATGTAGAAAGTTGCTTTTTTTTTTTAAATATACTGAATATATATAACTCTTAAAGCAAGGTAGTAAGTTTTTAAAAAGTCAGACATGCCTGACATGGCACGACGTGACAAGTCATACCTGATCGAAAACACTCAATGATTTGTTGAATTCCAGATTTTGATGTTTGCAGTGGCTGCTGTAATAATGGAGGATCACCAGGTTCCAATATATGCACTAAAATACATGAAAGATAACAAAACATGAGAAAAAACTTAGATGATTTCTATTAAGTTACAGATTTTCTGTACATACAATAAGCTTGCTAAAAAGAAAGACCAAGAACTACAGTAAAGGTTGTGTTACTCAAAAAACTTCATCAACACTGAATGAGAAAACATTAGATGAACTGATGAATTTTCCAGCTATGTTATCTTTTGACAGTGTCCTGTGATTTTGATTATTTAAAGGAAATATGTATTCAAAACTATGTCTATCAAACACAAGCACATAAATACACAAAACAAATTGACTCATCAGCAGTTTGTATCAATTATAATATATATTACAATGGAATGCTATTAATTTATATATGGATAAGTACTGCATAGCAGAATAACTAATAATTATCTTGATCAATAAATGTTTTAGTTGCAATAGACTTTGCAGTGATTGTAATGTGAGATGAAATTTAGGAAAAAAGGTATTACCTCAGCAATTTGCTTGAACCAAAAGTACTTCTTGCTAAAAATATTGTAATAGCGGTTTGTAGTACATACTATTCGTTATGCTTGTGTTTTGTTCTGATCATCGCTACTTTTGGATCTGAATTCAGTGCTAGGTATTGACAATATCGGGATCACACAGATACACTGTGAAGATGTACGGAATTTGGTAGCTCTATTTCGTAGATACGTTTTTTGTAGGTATGTTTCTTTGAATGACAGGAGTCAAGTAGGCGGATTTGGGGAATTACTTTAATTGATACAAACTTCGCATGAGTCAATTTGTTTTGCAACCACTAGAACCACATTCAGGAAGTACTTCTGGTTCAAGTAAATTGCTGAGGTAATACCTTTTTTCCTAAATTTCATTAAGCCTTACAATTATTGTAAGATCTATTGTAACTAAAAGATAATTATTAGTTGTTCCAATATGCAGTATTTATCCCTACAGAAATTAATAGCACTCCACTGCTATATACGCATAAGGCAATGAAGCTTTCCCCAGAGGGAAAACCACATTTAAATTAATAGGAGCAATTATTCAGGCACGTGTTTGAAAATCATTAGTCAGGTCATCTTGTTAACTTCCTATTGGCAAAAAAATTAGTTTTGTAGTTCATGAACTGGCTGCCAGCTTAACCATTTGGTTGATTTTTAATCCCACTGTAAAATTTCCACTTCAAAAGAAAGTACTGAGCATCTCTAAAAAATTATTTTTAATAAAGAGCTGTAGAGACATAGAAGCACACTATCTACAGACACAAAGAGCAAATAGATTAAACACATTTTGATAGGAAAGCTGTTCTAAAAGATGGGAGATTATAAATAAATTAAAGCTGAAAAGAACATCAGGAAGAAAGTCTAAGAAAACAACAATAGACAGACCACTCCACCTAACTATGCTGGTCCCATAATATACTATTATATGGACGAACACATAACAACCATTACAAATCAGGTAATCATTTGGTGATCTCTAACACAATGACATATTGTATTCTACTAGCCTATTCCCCATTCTTCAAAATAGTGTATTTTGGTCTGTATACTGCCTAACATGCATGTGCAACACCCACTGACATCCAGAGGAGTAGTGACATGTGTGAAGCAGACATAATACATGATCTGTATTTGTAAGACAAATATTTTAGCCTACCTTTTAAATACATTAGAACAACTCAAAAACATTTAAACGCAAATAAATGGTTCTACTAGCTGAATAAAATCTGTTCTCAGACTGCATTGATTTAAAGGCATATTATCAAAGTTGCCAGGCCTACACTTTCCTCTACTAATTCCAAAAACTGACGCCTTTCTTCTCAAAACACAAATACAAGCATCTAAACAACAAACTCAACAACAAGGCAACAAGAGAGAAGAAACAACAGGAAAGGAATCAAATTTCCTTTGGGGTTACCTATTATAACAGTAGGCAAAAAAATGACAAAAAGACTAGAAAGATGGCTGACCCTTCACGGTATACATTATACTCTCACAGATGACATCTTCCATGTCAAACTGAAGTGAAATGCAAATAGTGGTCTTAGGACTTCAGTTTTGGGGGGTTTTTTCCCCCTTGTGAGCAAGACCTTTGAGTTCATCAGTACTTACTAGAAGAGGAGACATAAATTAAAAACATAAACAATGAATGAAACAGATTGCAGAAGCTGACATATTACAAAAACTTCAGAGAATCACACGTTTTGGAAGCACAAGTGCCGGTTGCTTTTATGTAACCTTTCGCCTTCCTCTGCTCACTGTATTCCTTCTCTTCATCTCGGGGCTCAGGGATTATTACACATCCCCCAGAAACTGAGAAACTATAGTCTTGAAATAATTTAATATGATAGTTTTTAAATATCCTAGATCTATTTCCCAATGAACGTCACGATTTCTTTTTACATCCAAAACTTTCACTAAAGGTGCACATCTGTAACGGCACAGCAGTACCCGAGGGCTGTTGAAGGCGGCAGTAAATTAAGACAAGCAAGGCACTGCACTCCACCGTACGCACCACTGTACCTGCTTCACAGCATCCATGGTGATGGTGGTCAGTCTGACAACACTTGTCCCTTAGAGGCATTTTCTGCACGCACGACCTACTTTCCTTCTACATCCAGCAGCTGCTTTCTGTTAAA